AAAAATTTCAAAAATAGCTTTTACAAAGTAAGTTTAGTAACAGGTAAATTTTTACTATTAAACTTAGTAAAATAACTACGCAGTCTCAGTTTTACTAAGACAATATAGTAATAACCGCTATCGCGGTTTCGGTTTACTAAGAAAACTTAGTAATAACTGCCATCGCAGCTTCAGTTTACTAAGAAAACTTAGTAATAACCGCCATCGCAGCTTCAGTTTTACTAAGAAAACTTAGTAATAATCGCCATCTTGGCTTTGTAACCATTTTATTATTAAAAAATGTTTTCGAAGCTGCAAATGCATTTTTTACTAGGTTTCTTAGTAAAAAAACGTTTTTGAAGTCGTGAAGGCATTTTTTTACTAGGTTTCTTAGTAAAAAAAATGTTTCCGAAGCCACGGAGGCATTTTTTACTAGGTTTCTTAGTAAAAAAACGTTTCTGAAGTTACGGAAGCATTTTTTTATTAGGTTTCTTAGTAAAAAACGTTTCTGAAGCCACGGAGGCATTTTTTTACTAGGTTTCTTAGTAAAAAAAACATTTCTAAAGCTGCGGAGGTATTTTTTTACTAGTTTTCTTTGTAAAAAACGTTTCTGAAGCCATGGAGGCATTTTTTACTAGGTTTCTTAGTAAAAAACGTTTCTGAAGCTGTGGAGGCGTTTTTTTACTATGTTTCTTAGTAAAAACGTCTCCGAAGCCACAGAGACATTTTTACTATGTTTTCTTAGTAAAATAGTATCTCTGAAGCTGCGGAGGCATTTTTTTACTATGTTTTCTAAGTCTCTGAAGCTGTAAAGGCGTTTTTTACTGTTTTTCTTAGTAAAAAGGCATTTCTGAAGCTGCGGAGGTGCTTTTTACTATGGTTTTCTTAGTAATAATCACTTCTGAAGCTTTGGAGATAGCTTTATTATTGATTCGAATCAAATCAAATATTTGAATACTTGATTTGAATTTGATAGAATCAAATCAAATATTGATTTGGATTTGATCAAATAAATCATTCTTTGATTTGAATTTGATCAAATCAAATCAAATATTCAAATAAATTGTATTATCGGTCAAAATTATAAATTATTAAATTCTACTTTAAATAAAAGAGTCTGGATTTTGAAATTTGATTGCAAATATCTCATGATTGGCTAATCCAAAATTAATGAATATTAACTTATTAGATTCACCTAGTCGCGAAAAATCTAATGGTAGTTGTTTTATACGAATCGAAGCAGTATCAACTGAGATCATACATCTTTTGTTTTTTTTTTGTTTTTTCTATATATAAAAAATCATGTGATATGATGTCATTTCGACTATTTTGACTTTTCATTTCAACTTTGACCTTTAAAGTTGAATTATTTTAACTTTTGGGTTTTCATTTCGACTTCATGTATAGATGAAATAGATTAAATTTAAGTTAGATTTTCATTTTTTATTAAATTAGCATTTTTTTTTTGATTATAATACAATTTATTTAAAAAGATAAATTCACAATAATATTAAAATTATACAAAATAAATTATTAACAATTCTTACTTAAAGATTTGAATTATTGATGAATTTTTCAACAAGTTTTTTTTAAGTTAGCAAATACCTCATAATGATTACAAGTTAAACACAGTCCTCCAAGTTCTTTATGATAAATATAATGATTTTCTTATAATCGAGTTATAAAACTTGTATGTTGAATTCCTATTAGATATCATGTGTGAAACTTCTCTCATAAAGTTTCTCTTATATCTTTGAAATATATTATAGATAAACCAGTTCATATTATCATTTTATATGAATTCATAATTACATTTGCCTTATTTTCAAAAAAAGTTTTAAATTATTGAATTTTTTCTGATGATAATTTGCTTTGATGAAATATAGGTTTTTCAAGTAATATATCTTTTAGACTATTCAGACATAGATACAGGCCTGATATAGCTTCATTAGATACTTAACAATTATAAATAATATCAAATTTATGCAGATGCAGATTTATTTTTTTAATTTTTTTTAGATAAATAAAAAAAATTGACTTACTGATAAGTTGCTTTTAATTTCTTTATATTTGAAATTTGAAATTATTCTTTTATCATCATTATCTTTTTTATTTCCAATGATTCTTTAAAGTAATCTTAAAATATTTGAGTTTTATTATAAAAGGTTGATGGAATTAGTTGAAGAAAATCAAGTTTATATAAATATACCAAAATTGTTTTATCATCTTGTGGATTTTCTGATTTAGTCTAAAATTTAAATTAAAAATATAAACTTTAAAAATGACTTTTCAAATTTGCAGATTTAATAAACAAATTATTATATTATCTTAGACTTTTCTTTTGTAAATGGTATAATATTTATGCATGATGAAAAATTCAGCTTATTTATAATAAAATTTCTACACTAAATTGCTATCTATTACATAAAAACTATGTAATAATTCTTTTATCTTTCTATGTAATTTCATTGTAATAATTGAATAATAACTACCTAATCATTATGCAATAGTCCTATAATTATAATATATATATTTAAAGAGATGTAGAAAAGATAATTATATTTTTCTTAATTATTACTGTTAACGTGTGATTTTTACAAACCACAATGGTAGACGAGACATTTGAGTAGTTGCTTTTTATTGGTAGCTTACTGGGTTCATTAAAATAATTGTAATAATATGTAAATTTTTAAGTAAAAGAATACTTTATAAATCATAAATTATGTAGCAATTAATCATTATATTTCCAATATTACGCATGTAAAATAAGTTTATTAAAGATAAGATATGTATAAGAATAATAAAAATAAAAGGATAATGAAAAGATGAATAAGCACATCAATACCGGGCTAGAGGAAATCCAACTCACTACCATTCCAATATTTACAAACCATCCTATTTATATAAAATAATTTACATAGAAAGATAAAACTAATATTTGGCCAAGCGTAAGATAATAGACTATTGATCCACTTAGATTGAAACACAAAGGTATCATATAATATTGATTTGATATCGAGCATATTAGCGATTCCTGTAAATATATTCAATAATTCAGCCATATTATTAAGATATGAGTTGTACCTGCCATTTTGTAATAAGAACTCAAATTCTTCTAATGTTTGTTCAATCCAACTATCTCGTTTAATCTTCTCTAATCCTATACTTCCACGTTTAATAAAAGGATTTGTAAATCCCCAGCATAGTGCCACTTCAAAATAAAAAAACATATTAGTTATAGAAAATAGAAGCTTTTAAAGGCATATTTCAGTTACCTAAGAGCCTTTTCTAAAATAAAGAATAGAACATAAGTATTAGTTGAATAGCATCTTATTTTATTTAAGATATTAAACTTACTTATTATCGGATAATATTCTTCTTCCATTTTTTCTTATCCTTTTTTTCCAAGAATACGACATATTTATTGGAAAAAATGTGGCGCATCACTAATTGCTGCGGAGATTCTATGTGGCTTGAATTGTTTTTAGATGATTAGAAGAAAATCGATAATTCTTCGTTTTGATAAAGGTAATGGCGCCAAAAAGTACAGGAAAAAATATTGAGGCTGAAACTGTATTGCAAGCAGTAGTTCTTGCAGACAGCTTTAATGAACGGTTTCAACCTATAACTTTTGATATGCCGCGAGTATGTTTTTTTTTTTTTTTTTGGATATTTCAATAATACTCGGTTTAGGAATCTAACAATCTATCATTATTTTGCAGTCGCTGGTGTACAAGAAGTATATCTATTTTATAGAGAGCATTCATGAAAAAGTCAAAAATTATGTAAAGTAGGTACAATCGGCAATATGAGAGGATATATATATATATTTTTTGATAATTTTACATCAATCAATTTAACTCGATTTAATCAATTAGGACGTCAAAATGGAATCGATCATATTCTCCATTTAAAATAATTACAATTGTAACGCCTGAAGCACGTTCTGTTGGTGATGCTCTAAGAGAATTAGATTCGA